TCGATACTAAGGAATAGACTCGATGCTCAATACCGTTTCCAATACCACAATGATAATAAAATACACTCTTTATTTCAATTAATCAATTAAACTTTGCATATAGAGCCCTTTACAACACTCAAGATGACGAAAATGCTTTCCAATAAAACCAACATAAGACAACAGACAATAGAATGTGATTTTCAACATTAAATGATAGTACTTTCTTTTTATTAACATGTGGTCTTTTATCTGTTATCCCTTAGTTGTCTAGGTAGTTTTGGTCCATGGGCGTACACTAGTCTATGTGGCCTTATTTGCCTACTTACAGCTCAGTTCCCATACTTCATTGACAAACAACACAATCTACGTCATACAAGCCTATAATTAGGAACTATAGTGCAACCCCCACATGTGTTTTGCAAAAATAGAAGTTTAGCTTTACTCTGTTAAGTTACATAAACTACAAGTATATCTGCTCCATTATTACAAAAATATCCAATTATTACTGCAATAATGAAATGAATATTCAACGGCAGCGACAATTATATGACTTAAAACCATGATTGAACAATCCTTAATTAAGGCTAAAATAATAATACAATAAAAAAGTAAAATAAAGTTACTGAAATGTAGGGCTTAATGTATTAATTTCCCATATTGATATTACTACTACCACCACCACTAGGACTGGGTATCATTAAGAAGTTGCCGATACGATACAGTGCACTTTCGATCCGATATGATATATTTCAAATCGATTTAATACAGTTAAATAAAAATAAAGGTTAAATCATGGCTGTGATGCAAAAAGTCTTTGTTAAACCACTTCTTGTGCAAAGTTAATATAAAACACACACACTTTAATCATCAAAACAGTGAAAATGTCAAATGTGTTGCATAAAAGAGTTTCCTTCCTCTAAACAAGCAACAAAACTCTAGTGCTGTAACAAAATCATTTAGTAAAATATACCAAGAAATACTCTTGGTGATATATCAATACAGCAGTCCCCGATATTCATTTGCAATAATGACTACTACTGCTGCTACTACTACTACTTACTATATACACTCATAGGTTTACTGTGAAGTGGCCACATCAGACGTACCCTCAGATGCCCTGTAAAGCATGAGCCAACACAAACACAGAGTCCCTGTTGAGAGCTAAACCTGCATTAGGCATGTCTCCACACACTGGCAGCGCTCTGGTTCTTACACAGATTAGCTTTGAGATGGTGAAGTCTTATATGTTTTGTTTGTTCGTGGATTAGAGGCTCATGTCAAGTATACCTGGAGATTATTTTGCACTTAACATAAAGGTGTAGATGCCATTATACTGGATATATGCCAGCGTTATGTTTACGTCTTATGTAACAGGTTTCGTCTGACTCAAATAATCGCTTTAATAGCAACAAAAAATGGAGCTACTGTTCCCCAAGCTAACCCACATATGAAGGGTCAGAAGATTAACATGTACTTCTTTCAATAATAAAAACATATGTCTATTATGCAGTTTTTTGATCTATGCTATAATGTTGTTTCCTCACCACAAACATACCTGGAGTTGTGTTTGTTTCATTCACACATGTTTAACACAGATGCTGCATATTTTGGCTATTCTTCTCTTAAACATAAAAAAAACTCCATACACCTCCACTAGAATCATTTGGATGATTTCAGCCTTAGAATTTCCAATGTCTTCCAAACTAAAGGTAAAATATTGCTGTTAACTTGAAAACTACCACTGCATGACATGGCAAGGGGGAACGGAGCCTTTTGACCTTTGGAGACACACTAGTAATAAAGTCTTACTCAAACACGACATAAACAACTCCAGCTTTTTTTGATGAGGAAACATTATAACTTGGCTTGAGCTCACAAAATTAAATTTAGTGTAATATAGGACCTTTAAAGTTTAATACAGTATTGCTACAAACTACGGCTGCAAGACAGAACAGAATCAAAATTCAACAATTAGCACAATTAGCAAATAACAAAGACTGCAATTTTTGAAGTACTATAATATTCTTCACAAACAGCAAAATACGCTGTCCTATTCTGCATAAAAAACTGCTAGCCCTGTAGTTCAGATTTGTACATACTTGTTCTAATGTGTGTGTGTGTGTGCATTAGTTTGTCAGTTCATATTTCAGTCTTTTTCTCAATATGTCTGGATGCCTTTACAATTTAAACAGAATCAGGTGCTACAGTACGGCATCAGTGGTAAAAAAAAACCTGTAGTTGTGTCCTTAGGCAAGACACTTCACCCACATTGCCTAGTATGAAAGTGGTGTGTGCGTGAGTGATGGTGGTTGTCAGAGGGGCCAATGGCGCAGATTGGTAGCCTCGCTTCCGTCAATCTGCCCCAAGGCAGTTGTAGCTATAATAGTAGCTTATCACCTCCAGGTATGGAAAGAATGACTACTGCAACAAACTGTGAAAGTGACTTTGAGCATCTGGAAAAGCACTATATAAGACTAATGCATTATCTTTAGTATTAGAATCCTAGTATTAAAATCGTAAATTGAATTAACTGTCCGTAAAATTACAATTAGATATGTTTTGTCCAGCAAAAAAACATCTTTTGTTTTGTTGAACCAAATATACAAGATTAATTCTTATTGTCATATTTTTCTCTATTCTGCAATTAATCAGAATAATTGTGACAAATCGAAAACAAAAATAATGTTGACTTGTCATAATAAAATAATGGTTATTTGCGGCCCTGAAAACAGCCTGGTGGTATTGCTAGGCCTATATAAAAAATTTTGAAGTTCAATATATTGCTGAAGAAAATATAGAAGAGAAATTATGATTCTGAAAGTACATTATGCCATTGACACAGTAACTAGGATTATCCCAGCAAAAACTATTCTAAATGTACAAAGCTGTTAAAAAAAGCAAGTACAATAAAAAAATAGCAGAATGAAACACTTTAGTAGTTAGTTTGTATGTGTACTGAGCAAAAATAACACAAAGTTAGTACAAGGACAAAGTACCACGATAAATACTGACACTGAAAAAAATGTTCCCATCTGTATCAAACGGTCAGTCAATATAGTAATTATCGTGACAGGTCAAGGTGTTGCTGAGCTGTACTAGGCTATGTTCCAGCCCTAGCAGGTTCTTGGGTGTTACTGGAGTGGTCAGTTGGACTACATTTGCATGCTCTGTCAGTCACTGCTTGCCTCTTGTCTAATGGCCATATAGATACAACTAGTTCTGTTCCAAAAATAAAACAATAAATTGCATCTGCTCCTTAGATCATGTTCACACAGTGCAGAAGTGCTGACAGATGAAAAGGTTGAAGGGGAAAAGGTATTTAAAGATGCACTGATCCAGCCTTTTCACTACAGAAAGGCATTTATTTCCTTAAAAGAAAAATAAAATAAGACAGAACTGATCTAAATGCATAATGTCATAGTGGCGTATCCCTCAAGTAACCACTAGCAAATTTGTATAAATAAAAGTTCAAATATTATGAGATTTTCTGGGCTGACTATGACCAGTAAATGTTCTTATTACATTGATTTAAATACCAAACCAGGATATTGAGTGAACCGATATTTGGAAGCCGATATCCAATCTGACAAATTGTTCAGTATCAGCGCCAATATCTGAGATCGGTATTGGATCCTTAAATGTATTAAAGGTGCATTGTGTAACCTTTCTGGCAGAGGGTCTGTCAAATGCTTTTCTCCATGGACATGGCTTTGACTGGAACATTTCGGAAATCAGCTGGAAAGTCCCCCTGGCTGGAAGGTCCCCAGTTGTACCTTTGATGAAACTAAGTTACTTAATCTATATACATATAAATAAATTATTTAAAATAGGATTTCATAGTAAACTTCTGTGAGCAAATGAGCATTATATTGATATTACATACTGAAAAAGTATGTGCCATTTCAGGAAGATCGGTAAAATTACATAAACAAGGCTGACATTTGGTCTCGCTACATTCACATTTCATTTTATTATGATATAAAAGCTGATTTTCTAACTCAGTACCTCACAGTGTGTGGCGTGGTCGACTAAAGGCCGACGAGAACGTCCCCCTCTCCCGGGCACAGCAGGTACCCGCGTGCCGCCAAAAAGAAGGGGGCGCCCAGAGGGAGGAGGGGGATGTGGAACGCTTGAGCTGGGACTATCAAGCTAGGGGGACGTAAGGTATTAAACATTTCTATCTTTCAAACCAGGCCAAGTTACAGGTCAGATCTGTGGAGAAGCGACACCGCTCAAAGTCAGAATGCCTGTTTTTCAAGGTATTTTGAGCTACTAAACCACCTGTAATTGAAGAGAGCTGTTTAATGTCATACTGTGGAACATTCTAGGCAGAGCAGTGACATATCTATAGAAACAAGCAGGTGACGAACCCTTCACCAGAAAAGTTATGCAATACACCTTTAACCTATATCGATATTTTGGGATGGGATTTGTAGACTGAGCTCAACAGGCAGCAGCACCATCCTTCTGTTATGTAACTTTCAACACAAACGCTAACAACACATGATTTCTGTCATTTATCACAGTGTAAAAGCTTTAATGTTAAATCGATTCTTGCATAATCCAATTGCACACTGACACTGACACATGCTTTGGTTCATTTCTACCTCCTTGTATCTTCACCAGCATCGCTGAATCAACACCATTTGGTATTTTATTTTCCTTTTCCTATTTTAACCCCTGATGTGTCCTTTCTTTCTTCTCTCTCCCCCATGTCCCGTTCCTTTAAGCAGCCATAACTGGTACCCCTGCTCCCCTGCCATTGCCGCTTCTAATCTAAAACCAAATACGCGAAAAAAAAAAAGCCTATTTGCAATAACAGACTACTCTCCTCTCAATCTCAGATCTTGATTACACTGTTTTCATTGAGGGTTGACAGTAAGACCACCTGCCCCGCTCATAACACAAGCTGCTATTCCCATACAGAGCTGAAGAACAGTGAAGGGCATCCAAAAGCCATAACAAAACACTGACTGACTGAGCTGTCTGGTCCCATTCAAGTGAGAGTCTTACTGTACCGTAAGGGAATGCTCCTCCTCAGAATCCTCCATTTATCCTCAAACATCCACAGAGAAGACAGGAAGAAGCAGCGATGGTTGTTATGGCTTACGGCAGGCAGGGTATGTGGCGGAGGGGAGCTAGCTCGGTTAGCGCTGCACTTGTCTGTTGCTCCTTCCTGTATGCATCTCTTTATAGACAGAGGAAGACAGAGGCTCACAAAGCAGCCCGCTCTCCCGTCAGCCCAGCCAATCGCACCATAGCACCATGAATATTTTATCTTCCAGCCAAGAGCTTTAAAAAACACACACACGCACTAACATTTAGAGGGCATACAAGAGCTCACCCGCAGAGGCATTCAGGTCAGACCCCCCCATACCGATTTAAATGCGAGCATAGTGCGGCACGATTGCATTACATTGTCAATTAGTAATATCAGAACATGTGAAATTCATAGGAAATCTGATCGAGTATAATTTTACACTGGTAAAAGAATACAACTATAAAGGGTTTGATATTTGATGCCGGATTGAGTCATGGGTGAGTTCTAGTTGGGTCCTGATTTAGAGCTCAGTAGGATGAGGTCAGGGTATGGTATTGATATGTGTTAATTCACAAGTTACAATATGTTATTTGGCAAGATTACAAATAGCACTGCAACAAGTTAATTAATTAATCACAAATTATCTATTACTGAAATAACAGTCAGCCAATTTTGTAAATAAATAATTGCTAAAGGTCCTATACAAAACTCACTGAGCATTAAGCCCTGCTATAATGTTGTTTCCTCATCAAAAACATTCCTGATTAGGGCTGAGTATCATTAAGAAGTTGCCGATATGATACATACCTTAATACATAGGCAACGGTACGATACATATCTCGATACAGTGAGCTTTCGATTCAATACGATATATTTCAAATCAATTCAATATGGTTCAATAAAAAATAAAGGCTAAATCATAACTGTGCTTGTGTTTGTTAAACCACATCTTGTGCAAACTAAATATGAAACATGCACCTTTTAATCATCAAAACAGTAAATATGCCAAATGTGTTGCTTAAACGAGTTTCCTTCCACTAAACAAGCAGCAAAGCTGTGGCGCTGTAACAAAATAATTTAGTAAAATATACCACAAAGTAGTCTTGGCGATATGTATTGATACAGCAGCCCATGATATCAATACTGTCTCATCAAATTAAACAATACTATATATCGATATTTCAATATTTTTGCACACCCCTATACCTGATGTTGTTTTCATTCACACATGTTTGAGTAATCCTTTATTATTAGTCTCTCTTTATCCCCAAAGCTCAAAATGCTCTGTTCCACCTTGTGATGTCATGAAGCAGTGGTTTTCAGGTTAACTCTTCCCTTTTTTTCTTTAGTTTAGTACATATTGACAATTCCAGGGCTGAAATTATCCCGTTAATAGCTATCTTTTACATTTTATTCAGTAGAGATTATCAATCCCAGGTCTGAAATGATCCAAATTACTCTAGTGAAGGTGTAAGGTTTTAAACAGTCAATGGAGCATTTTCAATTTAAGAGAAGAATTTGTGAGTTAAACATGTATGTATGAATGAAACAAAACACAACTGCAGGTATGTTTTGATGGAGAAACAATATTATAACATAGATCAGAAAATTGCGTAATATGGGCCCTTTTAAACTGGTCTATTCACAGGCTCCAAAACATGCCATGTGCTGAGAGAACATGTTTTATGACACAGAAGGAGCAGGAAGTGTTGAAATTACACTGGATTTTACACCCTTTTGGTAAATATACCCAACCAGAACATAGCAGCTTCACTTTGGGTTTAAATTTGGGTTTGGATTTAACTAAGTCAATATCTCCAATTCGTAGACCTTTCATGTTCTGAACAACTAAACAATGAATCAAAACTTTAACTTCTACATCGATCGATTAGAAAAATAGACATAAGTTGCAGCCTTAATTTCAAAAGATGCAGCGATACAACTACAATACTGCACAATACAGAAGTCTGCTATCAATCTTTAAGGATTTTAGAAGATTTAACAACAAAATATAAATGCAAAGGAGAAAGAATGACCTTGAATGACTACTACAAGACACAGTACCACTTAAATTTCATGTACCGTGAGCCCTTTCACAGAGAAATCAGTTTTCAAATGAGTTTAGTCAAGAGCAATATATCACGTCTATATCGATATATTACAAATGTATATGTATGTGTTATATCCAAAGTCTAAAACCACATTCTGTTGAGACTTGTTTCTTTCTAGCTTCAGTTCTTTCTCTACTGCCTGTACAAACATGTGAATAACTTAATATTTGATCACATAAAACAGTAAAAAGTACACACACTATAATGCAGGTGTGTGTGTAGGTCATGATGTTATTTTTCAACCCTCTACACCTCAAATCTTATCATATTACAACAAAAATACCCCAAATCTCCCCATTTTTGCAAAGAAAATATACACACATAAATGTTGAGCGTAATAATATATTGTTCTGGCTTTCAATGTTGAACGATAAGTTGATACAAATCACTGTGAAAGGCCTAGGTGTGTGATTAATCCACATGGAGGAGTAGATGGGGACAAACCCTCGCCAATTCATTCTCACATAAATGGCTTTCTTTTTGTTTCCCTCATGGACTCAAGGTCAAACATGCCTGTCACCGAGATGTAATTTACCCAACAATTACAGAGCACGCGCAGATGAATGAACAGAGCAGAGCCTTCAGAATGGAGCACATGTCGCTATGGTTCAGTGTGATATTCTCCAGAAATAGGACAGAGATTAGCAGAAATGATGGGAGCCCATTTCTGAGATATAAAATATGCAAGACCTTTAATAAAAATGATGACATCCAGTGGGTTATGAAGAATCGTCATATGCAGAGGTCCACTGAGGCCAGAACAAAGTCTTCAGATGTCACCTGTCACTTTTCTTGCAAATAACTACTGTCACAATGCAAGGGATGTTTCGATTTGAGTTTCCTTTGATACCAATATCTGATATTTCTCTTGATGTTGTCACTAGTATCAACTCTCTCAATTCTTTAACTCAAACTCAATGGCAAGGCCCACAAAATTTTAAATGTGTCTAAAGTTCTCATTATGCTGGATTTCATCTTTAAATGTTGTATAGAGGATTTTCCAAGTAAAGAGAAATACAGTGACTGTTCGTCCTTTTACAAATGTTGCACATGCATGACACCACAACCCTCCTCCACAGCTTCCAAAGTAGAAACGCCTCCTCCCGCCTCCTCCTTATGCAAGAAATCATGCTTGTTTACAGCCGGTGCGCGTTCAGAATTGCTGAAAAAATTGCTGTTGAAGTTGCCTGTCCAGAGAGAATTTAGCGACCAAAGCATCAGTCTTTAGACCCTTCGTCTGCTTCAGTGCATCGCTAGAAGGAATCTCCAAGAATCCTTTTCCTCTTCTCTTCTTCTTTCAGTGACCTTAAAAATGGACTTTCTTTTGCGGCTAACTGGTAGTGGATTCTTGTCTGCTGTTGCAACAAACTTTGTGCTAACAGCAAGCTACAATTCAAAAAAGCCGCTAAAAACCGCTGTGTTGGTTGAGTAAACAGCACTTTGCGTATGTGGAATGAATGAGAGGCATATGTAAACCACGTAATCCCCGCACGCCGGTAAGTCAGTTATGTTAGAAATGTAGGGAGTTTGATCGACAAAAGCCAATAGATAATGAGGTAGCCTTGTTATCTATTGGCTGTTAGGTTGGCTAATGTTTAGCTGGCCTCACCACGTCCACAGTTGATGGATTTTCCAACCATTTTTTTTTTTTTTTTTTTTGTCATAATTACAAGGCTGCTGCAGATCTATAATGCTATTTTGAATTTTCTTTGACAATCTGAAACAGATTTTAAAAAATCCTCCATACAACCTTTAAGCTGTCTTATAATGCTATTTCCTCATCAAAACACACAATTCATTCACACATTTAAGTACCCCTTTATTATTAGTCTGTCTACATCGCCATAGTTCAAAATGCTCTGTTCCACTCAACTCAGTGGGACTCAGCCTAAACATGCAGGGTTTGTGTGATAAACGTGTCAATTAAACAAATCATAGACCAGAAAACAGCATATTATGGGGCCTTTAATACACATGGATGGACAGAAAAAATTAATATGATAAAAATGCAGATTTCCCCCCAAAAATACAGCCACTTTGTAATTATTATTATTACTTTATTGCTCTTCTGCTTTGTTAGATATAGAAAAAAGACTGTAGCAGTAGTTTCCCCTTGCAACACATTTGCATGCAACTGAAGAAGGGTGGAAGAGGAGGAAGTACAAGAGCTATGCTTGCACAAGAGTTTACACTTTTTACTCGAAAACATTAAATCTTAATAATACAGATGATGTGGGATTAGGAGCAGGCAGTTTTCCAATTATACTTTGATGTTAAAATGTAGGACTGTCACAATAATCAATCTTGAAGCATGATTGAAGCACGATATATAGCAACAGAGACATACTGCGATATACGATAATATTGAAACTACTGACACTATCTGTTCTATCTTCTACAGCTCACATCTTACCTTGTTACACAAAAATGGCAAAAATGTCTCCCCACTTGCCCATAAATTGCACAGACAACAAATATTGAGCCCAAAAATATATTGTTCCAGCTTTCATACATTGAAGTTGATACAGTCATTCTGGTGACAGGCCTATTAAAATCGTTCCACATATAGTGAAACAATGCATGTGATGATCTTACTCAATACTGGGATTATAGTACAGCCAAACAAGTACCAAGACATCATCACGTACACATTTATCATTCTGACTCATGGCTAATTGACTGTGCATTAAGGAGATGGGATTTCCCAGTTGATAGATGCATTGTACGACATAACTGTTATATGCTCTTGGGCTCATTCAATTTTCTGTAACAAGACTCCAGCTCTGATCCCACTGTTTCCATAGTACAAACAACAAAGTATTAGTAAGTATTAGTACCTTAAACCAATAAAGATGACATGTGACAGAAATGCTGCAGTTTTCTGAATAGGGCTGTGAATCACAGGGTCTCTCAAGATTCAATTTAGTACTCGATACATGGCTCATGAAACGCTAATTTTACGATATGGCAATAATAATTATTATATTAAAAATTATATTCTACAATATATCTGTAGTA